CGCCCGGCACCCCCCGGTTCCTCCGTGCGGCCCCCCCGGTGCCTCCGTCTCCCCGCTGCCGTTCTCCCCGGTGCCTCTGCGCGGTCCCGTAGGCACCGCCCGGGCATCCCGGTATTACCGAGCGCGATCCCGGTACCGCCGTGTGTCCCTCCGTGTGCCTCCGGGCGCCCCCGGTACCTCCCCGATACCTGTGAGCGCTGCGACCCGCCGCCCCCGCGGCTCCCCCCGGCCCCGGTGCCGGCCCCATACCGGGGCTGAGCCTCTCCCGGTGCGACTTGTCCCCCTGCCCGGGGCCGGGCTGCAGCTCTTGGGGACCCCTGAAGACCCCCTCCTCCCCACCACCCGGGGACCCGGCACCCTGCGGCAGGGGCTCTCCCAGCACCCCCGGGCCCACCCTGCCGGGGGCAGGGGATCGGGGTGCTCACCCCCGCCGGGGGGTCTCATCTGGCACCAGCCGCAGCGTTGCCCCCTGCCCAGCAGCCTGCTGGTGCCAGGCATCACCTGGGGGTCTCACCGTGCCGGGTGTGGGGTCTCCGAGGGTCCAATGGAGGGGGCTCAGCTCCCCGGGGGTGGTCTTGGCACCCCGCAATGCATCGGGCATCCCCAGTGCTGTGTTTCCCCCTGCCCCCCATCAGGTGCTGCTGGTCAGGCATGCTGGGGGGTCTGGACCCCCCCCACACCTTTGGGTGCATGAGACCCCCAGAGCAAAGCAGGACCCTGAGGTAGGGCCATGTGTGCGCCCTGGCCCCCGCTGGGGTGGGGTGTCCAGTGCCCTGGGGTGCTCCTGGCATCCTGGGTTCCGCTCTGTGTGTGTGTGTGTGTGTCCCCAGTCTGGAGCAGCATCTTGGGGTCCTGGGTTCCGCTGTGTGTCATCCCCCCCTCCGCCCCCCAGCCTGGAGCAGCATCTTGAGCCCCGGGGCCCCGCTTGTGTCCCTCCCGGGCACCCCTCCAGGGCTGGCGGTGGCAGCTGGGCCCTCGCCTGCGCATGCTGACACCCGTGGGCTGGCGCTTGGCTTTTGCCCGGCAGGACTCAGCCAAGGTCACAGCTGGCCGCAGGGAAGGTCCCCAGCGGGTGCCCAGAGGAGCAGCCCCTGCAGCCGGAGCCATGTCACCCTGCACCTTCGCCCTCCTCCTCCTCCTCCTCCTCCTGCAGGTAGGACCGTCCTGATGGGGCCAGAGGCTGCTGCACGTCTGCGGGGTGGGGGTGAGCGGGACAGTCCCCCCGGAGCCCTGGGCAGAGCCCTGCCCCCCCCCCCCCGTTGAACCTCAGTCCCTCTCTGTCCCACAGGACGCAGCACCCAATGTGCTGACCTTCCCCGAGCCCGGCCATGGCCTCTGGCGGCAGAAGAGGGACTGGGTCATCCCCCCCATCAACTGCCCCGAGAACGAGCGGGGGCCCTTCCCCAAGAAGCTGGTGCAGGTATGCGGCCCCGTGGGGACAGGGCACACAGCAGGGGGGTCCCTGGAGCACCGGGACCCCTCTAACCCCCCCTCCGCCTCACCACCAGATCAAATCCAACAAGGACAAGGAGACCAAGGTTTTCTACAGCATCACAGGGCAGGGGGCGGACACCCCCCCCGTGGGTGTCTTCATCATTGAGCGGGAGACAGGGTGGCTGGAGGTGACGAAGCCGCTGGACCGGGAGCAGATCGACAAATACGTCGTGAGTGGGGGGCCGGGATGGGGAGGGGATGGTCCCTGGGGCCACGCGTGGGCTGACGGTGCCCCTCGCAGCTCTTCTCCCACGCGGTGGCGGCCAACGGGCAGCCCGTGGAGGACCCCATGGAGATCATCATCACCGTGATGGACCAGAACGACAACCGGCCCGTCTTCACCAAGGCAGTTTTCCACGGCACCGTAGCAGAGGGGGCTAAGCCAGGTGAGACCGATGCTACCGAGTAGGAGGCAGGGCTGGGGTGGCAGTGGGGGGGACAGTGGAGATGTCACTGATAACTGCCCGCTCCCAGGCACCTCCGTGCTGCAAGTGCTGGCCACGGACGCAGACGACACAGTGAGCTCCAGCAACGGAGTCGTGGTCTACTCCATCCTGCGCCAGAAGCCAGACCAGCCCCAGCCCCACATGTTTGCCATTAGTGGCAGCACTGGAGTGATCTCCGTGGCTGCGGCGGGGCTGGTGGCACAGGTGAGCCCTGGGCACGGCCCGTCAGCCCCACTGTCACCCCCCATACCCCTCAGCCTGGCTCTCACCCCCCGTTCGGGGGTGACGCAGCCTCTCGCCGCAGGCGGTGCCCGAATACACCCTGGAGATCCAGGCGGCCGACATGGAAGGCTACGGGCTGCAGGCCACGGCCACCGTCCTCATCAAAGTGCAGGTGAGGCGCCAAGCCCACCCCCATGCCCCCACGGCAGGCAGACAGGCAGGCTTACGCCACGGTGAAGCCACTGACTGCTCCTGGCAGCTCCCACATGCTGACACGCTCCAGGTGCTTTCCAGGGAGGGAGGCGAGGCTGGGGTGGCAGCTCCGCCGTGGCTCCTCCTGGCCCGGCGCCCCGACGTCCCGCCGGGCTCTGGTCCACCAACCCCAGGGCCACGGTGGTGCCGGAGCGTGGGTGCCGGCAGGGCTCCCGGGCGCACCTCCCAGTGGGAAGCCACCTGCGCCAGCTCGGCCCAGCTGGGGAGGAGCGCCCGGTCCTGCTGCGGCCCCGTGCCGGGATAGCGGCGGCATCCAGCCTCGCCAGCTCCGTGGGCAGAGGCTGCGGTGCCGGGAAGGGCAGCCGGGGCAGGGGATGGCATTTTGCACGGTGTCACCAGCCGCGGGCCCCAGGCTGAGCGGGACAGAGGAGAGCCAGGTAAGCAGCCAGCCACCCGTGCTCGCCATTGTGCCTCTCCGGCATCCCACTTCAGCTGGCAGCCAAGGCCCGGAACCAGTGCCGGGACGGCAGCGAGAGCTGGTCCCGCTCCAGGGAGAGAGCCTGGCCCTGCCCAGCTGACAGCAGCCCCCGGAGCAGCGGGATACAACCCCCGGGTCGTGCTCCCACCCTGCCAAGCACAACCTGGGGGCTCCCAGAGAGGAAGGGGCCCTTGACCCCGCACTTGCTGCCCGTCCCAGGCAGTTATGGAGCACTTGCAGGGTTAACGTCCGCCCGCACGTGACATCGAAGGCGACAGGGACAGGGCTGCCGGGACTGAGCTGCTTCCTCCTTGGGCCGTGGCCAACCATTGCCGCCGCGCCATGGCCCACCGGGACGGGAGGATGAGCGGGGAGCCCGGTGCTGCTGCAGGCATGCAGCCCTCCATCCAAGCAGGAACCTGGCAGGGACCCACGCCGCCGGTGTCAGTGGTGCCCGAGAGGCAGTGCTCCGCTGCGGGCAGGGCTCCGGCACAGCAGCCCCGGCGAAGCTGAGCCCCATGGCATGGGAAGGACGTGGGTGCCCGTGTCTCAGCCCTGGGGTGCAGCAGGGTGCTGGGGAGAGGGGGGCTGTGCTGGGACAGCCCTGGCTGCATGGCCACCAGCCCGGGGAGGGGGACAACTGCAGGGTGGTAGCACACAGGCAGCCTGGCCAAGGGCCCCTCCGGAGAGGGGCCAGGGGCACCCGGGGACTCAGCTGCGGCACTGCCTGCTGCAGCACGGCAGAGGGGGGAGGCAGACGGTGCTGCTGGGACGCATCCCAGCCCCGCTTACTCCTCTGCCGCAGGCTGAAGGCACGTCCGAGATGGTGAACAGCTCCCTGACCACCCACGTGCTGAACACAGTCACGGGGCTGCCGGCAGCCGGCCTCGTCATCCGCCTGGCCCAGCTGCAGGAACCGGGGCTGCAGTGGACGGAGCTGGCGCAGAGGTAGGAGAGCTGGTGGCAGCGAAATGGGCAGAGGATGCCGGCTGGCTGAAGGCTTCCAGTGGCTAGGGCCAGCCAGCGCGGCAAGGCTTGCTCCTTCCAATTTCAGGTGGACGGATGAGGATGGGCGCTGCCTGCCCCTCCTGGCTCGGGGGCAAGCAAAAGCCGGCACCTACAAGCTGCGCTTTGAGACAGCGGCGTACTGGCAGGGCCAGGGGCACACCAGCTTCTACCCCTTTGTGGAGGTACAGAACGCAGGGAGGAGGGGACCGGGGGGCACGGGAGCTGGCCACGGCCAAAGCCGCAGAGTGAGGAGCCCGCGGGGGTCTGGGTGCCGTGGCCAGGCTTGTGGGAGCTGCCAGCCCTGGCCTCCCTCCTGTGGCACTGCCAGCTCTGCTCTGAGCATCCCTCAGGGGTCCTGCTCCAGCTAGCTGAGCCCCCCACTTTGATCTCCCCCAGGTTGTCTTCACCATCGCTGACCCGGCCCAGAAGCTGCACGTCCCGCTGCTGATCAGCCCCTACTCCTACACCACGTACCGGGGCAGTTAGGGGAAAGGCATGTCCTCCCCCCAGGGATGCAACTACGCCACCAACACCATTAAAGGCTTCAAACAGCACTGTTCGCCTCAAAAAAATCACCTTCCTGGGGCAGTGCACACATGGCTTCTGGAAGGGGAAAGGAGGGGAGCCCCAGGGGCAGTGCAGGCAGGGGGGCCAGCCCAGGAGGCAGAGGGGCAAGGGAGGACCCCGCGCAGGTCCCCGCTTGAGCCCGGTGGGTGGGATGCCGGGAGCCCTCTGGCTGCGCCGTGGTCCCGGGCTGCGCTGGCACTGCTCAGTCAGAGCCAATCCGGTTGGCAGCTGCCCATGGCTGGTGTACCCCTTGGCAGGAGTGGGGAGCTGCTCCGGAGGAAGGGTCCCCCCAGGGAGGAGAGAGAGGGTCCTCCAGGTCCTGCAGAAGGCTCACTGGGGTCTGTTTAATGGTGCGGAGCACCAGCGGGTGCACCAGCGGGTCCCTCGGTGCTGGCTGGCGTCAGGTGGGTACGGCAACGAGTCCCGCGGGGCCCTGCCCCAGCGCCTGCCCCAGCACCGGGCTTGCCAGGGGCTTGAAGCCCAGGTTGTCCAGGGGGATACCGAAGGCCGTCAGCTTTGCCTCGAACGTCTGCAGCATATCATTGTGTGCCTGCAAGAGAAACGCCCCATGGTCAGCCCGAAGCCCAGACCCTCCGCACGTGGGCACGGGCTCCCAGCACCCCCTTCCCCGAGGTGAGGGGGACCCCAACATGCCTTCCTTCGCAGGGAAAACAGGGGAAACTGCAGCCTGGGCTGGGTCCTGCCTGGCCCTGGGCACAAAGCAGCTCAGCTGCCCTGCTGCGAGTTCCCTTCCCTCTGCTCTGTGCAAGGCCTGGAGCAGAAGGTCCCGTTCCCACTCCCCGCACAGCCACAGCCACCACCCAACAGCCCCCAGCCCTGACCCGGGCAGGGGGGACACACAAGGCAGCCCCAGCCCCTTCCTCACCTTGCAGACTCGGGCCAGCTGGAGCTGCAGGTCTTTGATGGTGGTGTTCTTGGAATTGAGCACATCCTGCAAAGAGAGACAGCGTGTCAGGCAACAGCTGCCCGGCCCCGGGGGCACAGTGGCCGTGCCACAGGCGAGAGCGGCGTGGCAGAGCACACGGAAGAGCTGCTGCGTGGCGGCTGAGCTGGCACCAGGGCCCAGGCTCAAGCAGAGTGGCTTGCAGCACGGCCTGGCAGGCGGCCACCCCCCTGCTCTCTTCCAGCCAGCACTGCCAGGGACAGCCAGCCCCAGGCAGAGGCAAGGGACAGGGACCTCCTGGACTGACAATACGAATGCCAGCACAGTTCTGCCATCATCGTCTGACCCACTGCAAGGCTGGGGGGGGGCCGATGGCAGCACCTGCTCTGGCAGCACCGCCCTGCCGTCGCGTCGCGGCACCAGGGGAATTACAGGGAGAGAGGCTCCCTGAGAAGATGCTGGAGGCAGCTGAGCAGAGGAATTCCAGGACCCCAGCAGCTGTGGGAGAGCTTGACGCCGTGACGCCTTCCCAGGAATGTGTTTTCCTTCCTGCTGCTGTGGCACCTACTAGTAGGTGACACATCCACTGCCCCGTCCTACAGCCCCAAAGCCTCGGCTGCTGCTGTGCGCATCCCCAGGGCACCCCAGCAAGAGGGTGTCTGCGAGCTTCACCCCCACCCACCGCAGAAGGGACTTGGAAGAGGATGGGCTGGTGTGGGATAAGCAGGAGGGCACCAGGGTGGTGGCCGAGCCGAGCGTGGAACCCATGTCCCCTGCATCTCAACCCAACCTAAAGCAAGTGCTGCTTCTCCAGTTACGGCTGCGGCAGGCTCCAGGAATGCGGCTCTCTGCGCCGAGGCTTTCTGCGTACTTATTTTTAGCGTGGCAGACCTTGCAGAGCCCCTGGGAACCTGTCTACGCTGCCTCTGCAGACAGGGAGGCCAGGCGAGGTTCACCAGCTGTGACTCCCCACACACAGAGCACCCCGGGTTGCGGACGGACCCTGCACGCAGCCAGCTGCTTGGCAGCACAGAGCGCTGGTGAGCACTGCTCAGCCTGGGGCCGTTCTCCTTGAAAGAGGCCCCACCTGAAGGAGACATCAGTGCCAAATTCCAACACCCACACGCTCAGCTCTCGAGGGAGAGCTGGAGCGCCCTGTGGCACCAAGCGTGGCCCTGGGAGTGCCGGGAATGAGTGACGTGGCAACTACAGCCATGTAGGACAGGGACTTGCACACTCCAAGGTCTGCGTTCACCCCCGAGCAGCCTCTGCCCCCCAAGGCCAGCCTTTGCAGGGCCCCACGTCAGCACACGGTACCTCCAGCTTGTGCGAGACCAAGGAGAGGGCACCCGGGTCGAGGCTGGAGGCTGCAAAGACCTCGCTGAGCTCCACCTCCTTTTTCTCCAGGACGCTGAGGAGTCCTTTCAGCTTGCGCTCCAGGAGCAGGTTCTTGAACCCCGTCTTCTGCTGCACCTCGTTAATGGCTTTGGTGAACTTCTGATAGAGCTCATCCCGTTCTGCCTGCACCTGTTCCCAAAGACAGCACGCCTTCACACCACCCTCAGGACCCCCCGGGGTTGGCAGCAAACAGGTCAGGCAGCTCAGCCCTGCCTGCTCCGGCGAGAGCCCAGCCGTTCCCCATGGCACCTGCAGCCCGCGGGGAAGGCAGGTGCTGGAGCACAGCTTCTTGCCCTCCCTCCCTCCATGGCTGGCACCTCCTCAGCACCTGCACTTCTGCTTCCTCCTCCCCTCCAGGCCCGGGATGCCCCTGACAGCCGAACAGGCTGACGGGCTCGCTGCAGCACTATTTTAGACCTCGGAGAGGGCCCCACAGCACAGGGGGGGTCTTTCCTCTCCTCCTCACAGCTGGCAGGAGTCCCTGGCTCACAGCTAGTTAATAAGTGTCCTAATTAGGACACAGTCTCTCCTCCGCAGCCTATTTCTGAATGCACTGAATATGTTGCTGCCTTAATGATGGATTGTTAACGAGGCCTCAGATCAATGTTCATATTCCTGGGGATTTCTACGAATTGCAAATGAGCTCTTTTCTTGCCTCGATAGATTTATCTGGGTTAGCGGGGGGGGGGGGAGAAGACGAGTCTGGGAGATCTCAGTCAACAGGACATCCCAAGCCGCCCCAGCACAGCAAGCGGGGGGAGCGACCCCCAAATGCCGGCAGGAGGGAGCGAGCTCCAGCTAGGGGTGGTGCACCACAGCCATCTCTCCCCACAGCTCTGACCCCAAGCCGCTGTTGTGGCCAGTCCCTCGCAGGCTGGGAGGGGACCGCTGGAGCGTGCATGATTGCTTAGCAAAGTACAAGGCCAGGCCTGTCTGCTGACCGTGGGAGAGGCCAAAGCTGTGAGCAGCTTTGTTGGAAGCAGCAGATATCGCACGGCTCTGGATTAGAGCTTCGGAAAGCTCCTGGCTAAGCCCAGCCCAGGCAGCCTCTGCTGAGTCCCTGCACCCGCCCTCTGCAGAACGGACAGCATTTGGAGAGGGAAACAGGGTGCCCAGACCCCCCTGCAGCTCTCACCTTACTGAACCTCTGCTCCAGCACTTCGTGTTCCCACTGAAGATCCTTCAGTTCCTTCTGGGTGACTTTCAGACGGGCTTTCGTGTTCTGTGAGCAGGAAGGGACAGTTAAAGAGCAGGGGTTTCTCTGGGAGGTGTGGGGGATGTGTTTTGGCAAGGGAGGAGAGTGACCGGTAAAGAGATATGGATGAGAAAAAACAGGCAACACCCACACCAACTCCCTTCCTTCTCTGCAGCAGGGGTTATTCTGGTTTCTTGCTGCCAGAGACCCTGGAGTCCCACCTGAGATATAAACACCCAGCTAAGCTGAAAGGGACTCAAAGGACTTTGCTCAGCAATCTGGCCGAGCAAAGCGGCAGAGGTCACTGCTGAGCGACTCCCTCCAGGAAAGGGCCAGGGCAACTCAGGAAAGGAGAGGGCTGGCCACTCACCGTCAGGGCCTCCTTGTCCTTATCGTAGTGGGCCAACTTCTTCTGCAGCTCAGATACCTGCTCCTGGGCCTGCTGCAGGGGCTCCTTCAGCTGCTTGTTCTGGAGCAGCACATCCGCCTTCTCCTTTTCCAAGTGATTCTCTCTCTTCTTCATCTCCTCCATCTGCTCCTGTTCTTGGGAACACAAGTGCCAACTCCTGGGGGCTGCCTAGCTCCTCAGAGCTTCCCACACCCTCCAGACACCCTCCTGCCGCTGGCCCAGCAAGACACATCTCCCTGTGCTCAAGGGCTTTGCTCGTGTAACGATGTACAACCCTCAGGAGACCAGCAGCACCCACACCGCCACCTGGGAACTGGCCAGATCTGGGTGAAATCCTCACAGGACTGGTCCCTTGGTGGAACAGTGACAGCCTGCAGGCCAGGCAGGCTGCGGCAGGGGGGCAGGCAGTACCTTCAGCAAGCTGATGAGTGCCAGGTTTTTGAGGGTGATATCGTTGTAGTAGTTCTTGATGTCACTGAAGGCCTTCTCATGGTTCCTCATCAGCTCGCTGATCTGGCTGTTCTTCCTCTCCTCCACCTCGTGGATCTCGGTCTTCCTCCGCAAGTCAAGCTCGTCCCGCAGCACTTGCATCTTCTTGGTGTACTTGGCCTCGATCTCTGGGGGAGCGCACAGGGGGCTGAGTGAGGACCTCCTGGAGACCCTGTGTAATGCACCCCAGCTCCGTTAGCCAGCGCCAGCCTGGTGCATGCCACTGCGGCATTACTGGAGGACAAGATGCTTGTTAGCAGCGTCACTGCAGCTGCCACCAGCATGCGGAGCAGTTACGCTGGGACCATGGAGAGCAGAGCCCAGAAATAGCATCCTTGGAAAGAGGGCATGGAAACGCTCCAAGTCAGCCCGTGAGAACCTGAAACGTCCCCTGAGGAGGACACTGGAGCGAGGACTCTGCAAGGGCTCCTTCAGCCAGCCCACCCCGCAGCCCGGAGAAGCACTGCCAGGCAGCTGTGCTCAGCGGTAGGGCCTGGCAGCAGCGACAGGCGCCCTGCCTCATTCCGTTCATAGGATGCTGGGGGTCTGGCAGCCCCAAAGCACGAAGGAGCAAGAACTGAGGGAAAACCAGCCAGAACTGGGGGAAAACCATCCCCCTTTCTGCTCGAGGCTCTGCCAGGGAGCCTGGCAGTGCAGCAGAGCTCAGAGGCACCTTCCCTGGCACACTGACAAAGGGAGCTCACGCAGGGCCCATGTGCACGTCCTGACCTTTCACTTGTCTCTCAAAGTCATTGCACAGCTGGGTGATCTCCTCCTCTTGTTTCTGTTAGGGAGAAGCTACGTGTTAGAGGCAGACAACCAAATCCTGAGTCAGCCACATCCCGAGGGATTCCCTCCTGCTCCCTGGGAAGGGCTTCTGCCATGGCACCAATCCCATGTTATCCGTGCAAACGGCAGCTCATAGGTTCTCCAGCTGCTCTCCCAGCTCCCTGCTGCACGAGGCGGGGGGGTGTCACTGCCCCAGGAATCCCTTCTCCCCATTCCTGCGCTGACTTTCCAGTGCCTCTAAGTGCATCGGTTATCGGTACCTGCAGGAAACCCCATCCCACCCCATGGAGAGAGCCGGGGAGGCAGGCTCCCACTCACACACTGGGGCTGGGAGGGCTCAGCCAGCAGCCCCACCACCTCCCTCTGCAGCAGAGGCACCTCACACACAGCTCCAGCCCCACCAGGGACATACCAGGCGCATGTTTTTCACCACCACCTCGTTGGCCAGCTCCTGCTCCTTCAGCTCCACTTTCAAGGAGCGCATGTCTTTACGCAGCTCCATCTCCTGGGTCCAGTGATCCTTCTGGGCCCTCTTCATGGACAGGGTGCCCTCCGCCTTCAGCTCAGTGAGATTTTCCTGGTGTTCGTACAACAAGTGCTTCACCTTCTGTTTGTAAACCTAAAGACAAGCCACAGACTGGGTGAGGTGCTTCAGCAGGAGACACATGGAGCTGGGATATTGGCTGAGGCGCTCCTGGCTTGCATCGTGCCCAGTTTCTCCTCCTCTTCCCGCTTCCCTCTCCTCCTCAGAGCTGCCCGAGGCTCACCCAGAGCTTGGGGCTCTCACACCACCTCCCAGCCTTCTCCCCTCCCACCTTGATCTCCACTTGATGCCGCTCCTCTGCCTCCTCCATCTCCCGGTCCTTGTTCCGCAGCTCTGCTCTCTTCTCCTCCAGCTGCCGGCGGGTGATCTCCCAGAAGGTGTGAATTTTGTCACGTTCTAGCTGGAAATAATTGCGCTCTTCCCGTTCCCGGTCCAGCTCCTCCCGGAGACGCACAACATGCTTCTCCAGCTGCAAAGCCGAGAGGAAGAGCCAGGTAGGGGGAAAAGGAGAACTCGGACAGATGCTTTTACAAGACACCCGTGGCAAGTCGTGTCGCAAACCTGGCAGGACACAGTGGCTGTTATTGGGACAGAGAAGTGCAGGAGAGAAGGGGAGGAGCCCTGACAGAACCTATCAGCCTCTGGAAAAGGAGTAACAAAACCTTACCCTACTGTAAGCAGCCTGGGCTCAGATATTCTGTCTCTCAGTGTCTGGTAACACCATTCTCAGGTGCCTAAATACTACTGAATCATAGAATCGTTGAGGTTGGAAAAGACCCTTGAGATCATCGAGTCCAACCGCAAACCTAACACTGCCAAGTCCACCACTAAACCATGTCCCTAAGCACCACATTTACAAGTCTTGTAAATACCTCCAGGGACAGTAACTCAACTGCTTCCTGGGAAGCCTGTTCCAGTGCTTAATAATCCTTTTGGTGATGAAATTTTTCCTAATACCCAATCTAAACCTCCCCTGGCACAACTTCAGGCTGCTTCCTCTTGTCCTATCACTTGGGAGAAGAGACCAACCCCCACCTCACTACGACAACTACCTGAAAGGAGGTTAAGAGCAATACGGTCTCCCCTCAGCCTCCTTTTTCTCCAGAATAAACAACCCCAGTTCCCTCAGCTGCTCCTCACGAGTTCTCTAGACCCTTCTCCTTGTACTCCAGGCCCTTCACCAGCTTTGTTGCTCTCCTTTGGACACGCTCCAGCACCTAGATGTCTTTCTTGTAGCGATGGGCCCAAAACTGAACACAGTATTTGAGGTGTGGCCTCACCAGTGCCAAGTACAGGGGGACAATCGCTCCCCTAGTCCTGCTGGCCACGCTATTTCTGATATAAGCCAGGATGCTGTTGGCCTTCTTGGCCACCTGGGCATATTGCTTGCACTGAGATGTGCAAGATCTTATCCCAGGAGCAAGGTCCCCAGGCAAGGCAAGGTCCTCCACTGTTTGTAAGACACCCAGCAAAACAAGCAGGACTTGGAGCAACCGAGGGGCAGCAGCTGCACCTTCCACCTCTGCCTGCCCTCCCCATGCCTATGGGAGCCTCCCGCCCCAGCAGCGACACGACTGAGAGCGCAGCAGGCTGCAATCACAGAGCTCCAGGCTGAGCCATCACCCAGCTGAGCAGCTGCCGGGGTTACAGAGTCGGGGAGAAAACAGCAAGGGCACAGGGCTGGAGGGCACAGACCAGCAGAAGGGAAGGTGGGATGAAGGGGCTGCTCCTTCCAGGAACAGTGAGAACCCCCACACACAGCCCAGACAGGCGTCAGGCAGCAAAATGAACCCCGGCTGCTTGTCTCTGTCACCTTCTGCCACCTGTTGTCACCAGAGCTGGAGCCAGACGCCAAGCAGGGGTCCTGAGCACTGTTCTTGCAAGCGGCAATGTCCTCCTGCCTGGGGGTGGGCTGGGAGATGGGGGATCTCTCACCTGCTCCTTGCTCATCTCCTGCGGGGAAGAGGCATCCACCACTGCCGGAGCTTTGCTCCCTTTTTTTCCGACTTTCTTTTTGGGTGCCTAAGGAAAGCAAGCAAAAGGCACGAGGTGCGCATGAGGCTCGGGTGCCGGGAGGAAGCTGCACCGCTCGGAGCTCCCAGGCCACGAAACATACCCGCTCTCATGGCAGGGACAGGATGAGAAGGGTGAGAGGGAGGAAACACCGGCTGATGGAGCCAGGGTCCCCCCAGGAGGAGCCTGGAAGCCTCTGAGACCCCCCCAGGACACCCGTAGCTCATGCCCGGCCGCTACCGGCTCAGCTCCGCAGCGAAGCCCCCCAGGCACAAGATGCACGTCCTCACGCTAATGCCTCACGAGTGTCACGGCAGTGCTGTGCACGGCGCCAAGGGGCTCCCTCCCTCCCTCCTTTCCCCTCCCCAAAAGCGGGCCGGGCTGGGCCGGGCCTCCCTCCCCAACAGCCGACCGGGCCGGGCCGGGCCCCGCCGCCCTCCCTGCCCGCAGTCCCCGGCTCCAGGGGACCCTTCAGCAGCAGGCCCAGAGCCCCCCGCCACCCCCGGGGCTGGGGCTGGGGCCCGGGCCCGGTCTCACCATGGCGGCTGCCGCTGGCGCCGCGGTCTCCAAGCAACAGGCGGGCGGATCTCGCGAGATTTGCGCGGCGGACGGACACGCCCCCTAGCAACGCGGGGCCACGCCCTAGCAACGGCGGCGGGCCCTACTCCGGGCCCGGCGGGGGGAGCCGGACCGGGCCGGGGGGGGGGAGCCGGACCGGGCCGGGGGGGGGGTGTCTCCTCGCTATTCCCGGGCCCGCA